ATTGACAGAAAATCATTGACATTCAAAATTGCTAGAATGTTATGGGAATATCTCATTCTAATATACTGGATTGCCAACTTTTGGATATTTAGAATACAATATATTTATCACTGCAAAGGTAACATATATTTCTTGACAATTCAGAAGACAAATTAGCTATGATTCACTTTAGTGAAAGTATAATAAACAGCTGTTTTAAAACTATATTGAATATTAAAGTTTACTAGTTATATACAAATTTGCTTGCACCTCTAATAAGAGATTTAGTTATGCCAATAAATAGAATAGATTGATGGATAAAGGTTTATGGACCTACTTTCTCCACCACCACCACCCTCCCTCCCCCGCCTGCCCCACACACTCACATGAATTTAAGAATGCTTGAAAATTCACTTGTAGTTTATATTTTAACACTCAAGGCTAGAAACCATTTTTTTAAAAATATATTTTATTGAATTTTTACAGGGAGGAAGGGAGACGGATAGAGAGCTAGAAACATCGATGAGAGAGAAACATCAATCAGCTGCCTCCTGCACACCCCCTACTGGGTATGTGCCCATAACCAAGGTACATGCCCTTGACCGGAATCGAACCTGGGACCCTTCAGTTCACAGGCTGACGCTCTATCCACTGAGCCAAACCGGTTAGGGCTAGAAACTATTTTTAGAAGGAGCTAAGAAAGAAGAGGAAAATGTACTTGAATTAAGAAAAAGAATGGTAAAAAACCCCCAGAAAATAGATATTCTCTTTATTGAATAGATGTATTCCTTAAAAATGTATTGTGAATGAGAATGTGGTACCTTAAAGATTGGAAGATAAAAAAATAAAAACAAAGTTTTCAAACTGAAAGGGCAAGAGTGATGAATTCTATAGTCTGAGGATGGAACTCTAATTACAATTTGCTGTGTGACCACGAGTAACTCACCTCATTTCCCAGAGTCTTAGTTTACTTATCTATAAACTAGATGCCTGGTGCACGAAATTTATGTGTGTGTGTGTATGGGGGGGGGGGGTCTTCTCAGCCCAGCCTGCACCGTCTCCAATCCGGGACCCCTTGGGGGATGTTCAACTGCTGGTTTACGCCTAAACCGGCAGTCAGACATCCCTCTCACAATCTGGGACCACTGGCTCCTAACTGCTCAACTGCCTGCCTGATCGCCCCTACTGGCCCCTCTGCCAGCCTGATCACCCCTAACTGCCTCTGCCTGCTGGCCTGGTAGCCCCCAACTTCTACCCTCTGCCAACCTGGTTACCCCCAACTGCCCACCCCCGCCGTCCTGGTTGCCCCTCACTGCCCCCCTCTGCCGGCCTGGTTGCCCACAACTGCACCCCTCTGCTGACCTGGTCACCTCCAACTGCCCCCCACCCCCCGCCATCCTGGTCGCCCCTCACTGCTCCCCTCTGCTGGCCTGGTCCCCTCTCTGCCCCCCTCTGACAGCCTGGTCGCCCCCAACTTCCCCCACTGCTGGCCTGGTTGCCCACAACTGCCCCCCCTGCTGGTCTGGTCACCCCTCACTGCCCCCCCGCCAGCCCGGTCGCCCCACACAGCCTGCTGTTCATTCGTTTGGTTGTCTCTCACTAACCCTACTGCTGGCCTGGTCGCCCCACGCAGCCTGCTGTTTAGTCGTTTGATCGTCCGCTCGGTTGTGATGGCCCCTGGCTCTTTATATATATAGATGGCAGGATGGGTTGTTGGTCTTTAGGGACAGTCTCTTTTTTCTAGCTTTAGTAATCTATGAGTGCAAAGTTAATTGTCTTTCACTTGTAACAGTCCTTTATAAAATTGGAACACTGTCTAGAGGAAACTTGCTTTTAAAAAACTCAAGCTTCAGAAGCAATGCATTTTAGCTTAAATGTATGTTTAAGCAGCATATGATATGTTTTTATTGTGAAATTTATATGATATGGAAGTACTTATACGAAAAAGCAAAACTTTCCCTTTATCCCCTCTCCTTCTAATCTCACTCTTCTAGTCAGAAGTAACCCAATCACCTAGACTTTTTTCTGTGTCTACATTACATACATATATAAATATGAAGTCTTTACTTATTTTTTAAAAGTATTGGGGGGGGTGTGTTTTAATTATTCAGTGCATATTGTTTTGCATTTGCTTATTCCACTTGTCTTGTGGCTCTTTCAAAGTTTTAGCTTATACTCCTACCACATTGTTTTTAAATGTTTGGTGTCAACATATCATAGCTTATAAACCCCATTCATGGACTTTATGTCATTTTCAATTTTGTGCAATAATAAACAGTATAGTAAAGACCACCACTGTACGTGATAATAACTTATTGAACCCTCATTATATGGCAGTGCAGTGCATTATTTCATCAAATTAACCCCAAGCTTGAGATAAGGACTAATTAGCATGAAGAAATTACACATGAGGAAACCAGTCACAGAGCTGCTAAGTAGCAAACATTTACACAAGCAATGTAACACCAGAGCTCATGTACTATTCTACCACAGCTTTTATTGGGTTCCCAACGAGATTCTTGCTTCACCTGAAAAGGTGAAGTGCCAAGATTTTAGACAGGAAGAGGTTATAGAATTTTAGAGCTATAAGAACTGAAAAAATCAACCATTATACTCCTTTGCATCTCTGTTGTGACCCTGTAATTGATATCCAAACTGGGAAACTTGAGAGTGAAAGAAGGAGCATTATGATAATATTTATATTGAAATAGCAGACATATTTTCCTGGACAAATTGAAGCACATGGACACTTTAACCATAGCCTAGGTCCCCATCTTCTTTTATATGGGTTACTGCAATAGCGGCATCCTGCTTGGTCTCCTAAGATTTACGCTTATCCTGTTTCAGTCCATTCTCACATGGCAGCCAAAATGATCTTTTCAAACAAAAACCTGGTTAAGTCACTTAATAGTTTAACCCCCTTCGTTGGCTTTGTGGAAACACACACACACACACACACACGTAGTCCTGTGATTAGAATGCTGTGTCAGAAAGAGTAAAGGGCACTTAAATTGTAAGTTGAGGTGTGTGTTTGGGTCTCAGATATCAAGACTAGTTTGGTGACCTGAGGCAAGCTATTTAACTCAAAGTGTTTCAAATATAAAATATAGATACTATGAGGAGGGGGGTGAGATAATAAATATGAAAGGTACAATATAAATGCAGGACATTGTTAATAGTTAACTTCATGCTTATTTTGCCCTTTGAAAAATTACCTTTATCACAGTATCCACCAGGTAATGGTAGGATTTTTACAAGCTGAACCACCTTTCATGTAACTATCCAAGTTTCACAAAGTGAAAACATTAGTCATTTTTTTAAAAAAAATCATATTTTATAAAAGTTAAGTGACTTGCCAAAAGTGAAGACTAATTACCATGTCAATTCTAAAACCCAGGGCTATAACCTTGGCATTATAACCTAATAATCTTTCTACCAGGCCCTGCGACCTTCCCAAAATAATTAAGATTATTTGTTTATTAAATTGCATAAGTGGTTATTCTACTTTAAGTATATAACTAATCTTTGTAAATTGAGAACAATTTAGAAAAGCATATTTGAATAATTTACTGACTTAAGACCTTTGGCTTACAAGTGATGGCTTGCAAAAAGGGAATTTATTGGGTTACATAATTAGCTAGGAACAGTATTGGAGCAACTCTCAGTATTGAAGGTCCAGGCCTTTAGAGGACCTTCAAAGGAGCTGGGTGTAGACAAGACTCCTTTTATCTCTTACAGCTCTAGGCCTGGCAAACTAAGAAGGATGGGCTACACCTTTCTTTCTGAGAAATTAGGGAGAATTCCATTTGGCCTAGCCCATATCTCACAACCACCCCTATATTGTAGTAGTATTAGATTGAACCCCATGAAATTACTAATAGTCAATCATATTTTTACCAACTAAACATCCATTTCATATGGTTCAACCTATTAATAGTACGCGATGGTAAAGGGGAGAATGAGGCATCATAGATTGACAGCCCTAACAGGACCTCACAAAATGGTGTAGTTCCACAAAAGAGAAGATCTGTTGCTCTTCCCACCAGAAGAAGGAAAATGGGAAAATGGGAAAGCATTCTGGGCAGACACACACCCCCCCCCCTCAAAACAGTGACCATAATATAACATACTTACAAAGAGTTTTACGGGGTCAGCTAAATTAGATCACTATGGGAATGAAAAGGACCTCAAATATAAAAATTTCTAAAGTGAGAGACTGAATTGCTCTTACTAGTCCTTTTTCTCAAGCATCTCAGAGTTTGACAAATATCTTTTATGTAACCAGTGTGCCTAAAGCTCTTAAATTTTACCTTCTGTATTTTGCTGTCATTTGTTGAATGTCAAACATGTACTGGATACATTCCTCATTATAATCTTATTTAAAGATGGAGAAAGGTTCAAAGAAATAAACTCTAAAGTTACATAGCTTTGGAAGTATTTTGTAATTGCTATGTTATAGCTAAACTTTATTTAAATAGTCTTTTTGTTATTTTTACATACTTAACGCAAATACAGCTATGTGCTTATGGAGACCATACCCTTTCTTCATAAAGTTGAAGCGTTAGGTGGAAAGAAGGAACAACAGAGAGTCTTTCACTAATTACATAGCAGTGTTTTGTAGGGTTTTTCAATATAATATTAAAGCATGCTTTCTGGTCATTGATGCTGAAGGTGAGTCGTTCTCAATCTGATATGTAAAGCAAAACTGAAGTGATTTGTATTGTAAGTTTCCAAAAGTCTACAAAGTGATATATTTAGGGAACATTTTATTTAAAAAGTGGTATAATATTAAGGGAATTTGACTTTGGGGAAATTTTTCATAATTTTAATTATGTTTGACATATTAACTTTAACTATTTTAAATTAGTTCAAATAGCTATAAAATTTTTCTATAAGTTAATCTGTATAAAAATAAGTTTTTTTCCTTTAATTTTTCTTATCTTTTAAAAGACATATAGTTCTTGTCATTAGATTCTTAAGCAGTTTACTTAAAAATATTCCATATTTCCCTTATTTGATAGATGATAGTATATCTGCTGCAAGTACTTCTGATGTTCAAGATCGCCTCTCAGCTCTTGAATTACGAGTTCAACAACAAGAAGATGAAATCACTGTGCTAAAGGCAGCTTTGGCTGATGTTTTGAGGCGTCTTGCAAGCTCTGAAGATCATGTAGCCTCAGTCAAGAAATCAGTCCCAAGTAAAGGTAATTAATTGTGTTGTATAGCAGAAAGTGTCTTGCTTTTTGCAACACTTTCTTTGCAGTATTATATAAAACTTGTGTATTTTATCAGTGACAATAAAATTGACGATATAAAACTATAGTTTCTCTTTTGGGTTACTTGTGATTACTATAGTTTCTCTTTTGGGTTACTTGTTCCTTTTTCTTTATTCCCAAGAAATTCTGAAATTTTTTAATTTATTTTTTAAATTGGGAATTGTTGTATAATAACACTAATTGTATTTATAGACTTTTATGTCATAATATTTGTGTGCATTTAGTATTTTCCAAGTAAATAACAAATTCACTGAGGGCAGGTACTTTTGAATCAATGCCCTTATCATTACAGAAATGATTTAAATTATTATAGTTTAAACTAGAGGCCTGTTGCACGAAAAGATTCGTGCAATAGGCCTTCTCTTCCCCTGACTGCTGGCACCGGTTTTCCTCTGGCACCCGGGACCCAGGCCTTCGCTCCAGCTGGAGCCACCTTCAGTCTTCGCTCCGCTGCTTTGCGCCTACGTATGCTAATTAACTGCCGTCTTTATTGGTGGTTAATTTGCATATCTCACTGATTAGCCAATGGGAGGTGTAGCGAAGGTACGGTCAATTACCATGTTTGCCTATTGTTAAATAGGCTAGCTTCATTCTGAGCCTTCTGTGGTCATTAGTCAGCAGAATCTCCACAGTACAATGGGAATTTTAACTTCCAGTCATGGGGAGTTTTCACATGTTGAGAGAGTTTGGAGCAAATGAAGTGTGGCCTTTCCCTTTCTCCAATCACTCAGAAAGAATTTATAATTCTTTCACATTAATCAAACAATTGAACATTCACTTTCATAGATCTTACTGATTTCTTAGTAGTGTAAGTGAACATAGGCATGATTATTCCCATTTTGGCAACCGGAAAAGTGAGGGTAGTCATTGGCTCATTACTTCTCTACTGATTACTTCTCTATTGATTAACCTACGGAGGAGGCTAACATAACTTATAGAATCTAGGCTAGATAAAAGATAGTTAACCAGGATATGACGAGTAAATTTGTTAGAAAGATTATGAATTCAGTTTCTGGATGTTGACTTTGAGGTACATATAGTGTATAGATGATATTATAGATGGCTGGAGTCTAGTGCTCATATTAGTCTTGGCTAGAATAAGATTTTGGAAAATGTTCATCTTATAGATGATAGTTGAAGCCATAGAAAGGGGATGTAAAATGAGAACGAGGCTCAGGAAAATTCTGAGCAGGAATTGAGAGCAGTAACTATAGCCACTCTTTCAAAAAATTTGCCTTAGAGGGGAAGGTAGTACCTAGAAGAAGATGCTAAATTAAAGGCCAATTTTAATTTTAATTTTTTAAGATGTTTCGACTTGAGCACAAAGATATCTTGAGGATAAAAGTGCAGCAGAGAAGGTGATATTGGTGGTGAGCGGTGATGGTAATTGATGAAGCAAGTTTCCTGTTAGTTTAAAAAAGGATCTTAGAGCAGGTAAAAAACTAGGCTTAGACAGAAAAAGATTTATCTCTTTCCATGAGATAGCAAGTGAACTTTGCTATATATCACAGTTGTCAGGGTGGAACTTCTCTTCCTTATCACTTTCTCCTTAGGAGACAGTGATGTCCTTTAAGAAAGTAAGACAGTTCCTGGATGGTGAAAAAAGAGGAGTTAATATTTGGAATGGTGCCCTAGCTGGTTTGGCTCAGTGGATAGAGCATTGGCCTGCAGACTGAAGGGTCCCGGGTTCGATTCCCGTCAAGGGCACATTGGTGCAGGAGGCAGCCAATCAGTGATTCCCTCTCATCGTTGATGTTTCTCTCTCTCTCTCTCTCTCTCTCTCTCTCTCTCTCTCTCTCTCTCTCTCTCTCTCTCCCTCTCTCTCCCTCTCCCTCTCCCTCTCCCTCTCCCTCTCCCTCTTCCTCTCCCTCTCCCTCTCTCTCTCCCTCCCCCCCTCCCTCTCTCCCTCCCTCCCTCCCTCTCCCTTTCTATCTGAAATGAATAAAAAATATATTAAAAAATGTTTTGAATGGTTACAAACATTAACTTCCCACCTCCATGCTCTCAAGGTCATTCAGCATTTCTCTCCATAAAAATGCTGAATGACCTTGAGAGCATGGAGGTGGGAAACTTTGGGGGAGGGGCATCCTGCCTGGTTTTGTGGTTCTCATTCTTATCCCTCCCACCCTTACACATGCTGGGGCTAGGAGTGGAGACTTAGAAATGGCAGAATTCATCTTTTCTATTAGCAGTTAGTAAGATAAATGACAAGGGACTTGAGAGTTCGGCAAACAACTTGGTAGAAACCACTTTAGTTAATAATGTTATATTGTGATTTTTACTTTTTAAAAAAATATATATTTAATTGATTTTTTACAGAGAGGAAGGGAGAGGGATAGAGAGTTAGAAACATTGATGAGAGAGAAACGTCGATCAGCTGCCTCCTGTACACCCCCTACTGGGGATGTGCCTGCAACCAAGGTACATGCCCTTGACTGGAATCAAACCTGGGACCCTTAAGTCCGCAGGCCGATGCTCTATCCACTGAGCCAAACTGGTTAGGGCTGATGTTTACATTTTTTTAGAGTCAAACTTGAATATTGCCAAGATAATGCTTGGTTAGTGTCCACTATACATATATGTTTTGTGTTGTTAATCCTCATCCGAGGATATTTTTTCCATTGAGTTTTAGAGAGAATGGGGCGGGAGTAGCGGGAGAGAGAGAGAGACAGACAGACAGACAGGCAGACATTGATGTGAGAGAGACACAGCAATTGGTTGCCTCTCACACATGCCCTGACTAGGGCTGGGGATCAAACCTGCAACTCAGGTTCACTCCCTTGACTGGGAATTGAACCCATGACCCTGTGGTGGGAGGGCCAACACTCTTAACCACTGAGAAACACCAGCAGGGCCACAGTATTTTTTGGAGGTTCTAGCAGGGGAGCGCAGCTACTCGTATACCCTTGACCGAAGACCGGTCCTCTCCTCTGGGGGGAAGGTTGTCCTCTTCGAGTGCGCAGCTTCGGGAGGGACGCACATGGATCGGTGAGGGAGGAGGGGGACACCCGCCTAGCCAGCCAGATCAGCCGAATCAATGGGGTGACGATCAATGGGGTGACAGATGTTGCAGCCAGATCACCCTCACATCCCACAGTATTTCTAAAAGCTTATTTTAAATAGTTTATGAGTCTAAAAAAATTGATTTTTTTATTATGTTAGAACAGCAATACATTGTAATCTGTTGAAAAATTTTAAATGTTTTCTCTTGTTTTTTACTTATTGAGGTCTTTCAGTAAAGGAATATAAGAAAAATTAAAGGCTGCTTTTAAAATTTGGTAGATGGATAATATTTTGTATAACACATCAGTTACTTAGCACTTGCCTGTTTACGTGTCACAAAATATAAATTCAAGTAAATATCTGTAGTTTCTATTTCTTAGGAACATACTTTTTGTAAGTCATCCTTTCTAAACTTTTTCTAGTTGTCCTAAAACTGAAGATAGAACCAAAAACCCTGTATATATATTGTTTTTCCCCCTGTGCATACATACACATATACATATGATAAAGTGTAATTTATACATTAGGCACAGTAAGGGATTAACAACAATAACTATAATTAACAACAATAACTAATAATAAATAATTATAACAATATATTGTAATAAAGTTCATGTGACTGTGGGCTTTTTCTTTCTCCCAAAATATCTTATTGTACTGTACTCACTCTTGTGAAGATATGAGATGATACAATGCCTATGTGATGAGATGAAGTGAGGTACTCAGAACAGCGTGCAAAGTGAAAGTTCTTTATTTCTGAAATTTTCTGTTATTTTTGGACCTTGGTTAACCATGTGTTACTGAAATCTTAGAAATCAAAACCACAGATAAGGAGGGCTTATTAAAAGCTAAGCTTCATTTTTTTTTTTAGTATGTTATGCCAGAAACTTAACTGAGATAGAAAGTTTTCCCAGTAGTTTTTAAGGTGCCAGTCATTTAAATTTCTCATATACCTCTATTCTGTTGGAGAATTCTTTCCTTTTGACGGCATATGCTCATAATATATGCACCAGTTGCAACTGAATCCCTGCCAAAAGAAAAAAAAGTTACCTGTACTTTGTAGCCCAGGGAACACTTTGGAAGTTTTAACTGCTAGGAAGACAAATTATGTCACAGCTGGTGCCTGGGAAACTTATTAAGACCTTTTGGGGTGACCAAATGAATGTGATTTGAGAACACAGCCCATGGCATTAGGTGAAGATAAGCTGTTAGTACACATGGTGTAAAAGCAAAGGAGTAAAAATTTATCTGAGGGAAACTGTTGGTAAACCAAAAGTATCAAGCATTGTAACTGCTTCTTGAAAAATGAAAGAACCCAGAGGCATAATTGGACCATAGAGGATGTCAGTTCTCCAAAAGAAACATTCATAATTATGTAGAATCTGGGATGGTGTGTACCGGCACAGATCCTGTATCATTTGGCTCTTATTCCAAATAACATCTGGGAGAAGATAGGGATTGCCATGGGTTTTCTGTAAATGTTGTTAATAAGTAAATATATTAATCAGGTTGGAAGGTGTGAATTTCCTTGATGGGGCCCTTAGGCTAAAATGACTCATAATTGTGATAGAGGATGGGAGAGTGTCTTATTATTTTGACAACAGATCAAAGACTTCGAAGCTGCTCTTTGTATGCAGAAGCCGTTGGGTGGGTATTACCCCAGACCAGGCAGCAATTACCATTCATAGAATTCCATTTCTCTGTGAGTCAAATCCTTCTTTGGTCATTTCTACTCAAAATATACTTTTAAAAAAATCAGTGGCCAGGAGTTAACAGAACCAAAATACACCTTCCTGGGAGATAAAAGAGAAGTGTACAGATAAAATTCTAAGTGGAAAGATAAACTTTGATGCATTATAAATAGTCTTCAGTCTCCTCAAAGAATGAAGAGATTGAAACAAAAGGTGGCAGAGAATTTGAAAATA